ACAACAACAGTTCAACTGCATTGTACAAACATTGAGGAACCAACCACTTAATTGGCATTTTCGTTAATTATTAATTATAATATTTCGTTATTATACTTATTATTATTATATTAATTATAATATTTCGTTAATAACTTCGCTGTCACAAATGGGTTAATTTTATTGTGCCAACTTTGACAACTACATAGGAGGTTGCCATGTACAGGTTTTCTCATGGAACATATGTAATTATATGTAGTTACATTACCTCTGGTTTTTTTTCAGACCTAATTCTGAATATTACCTTGGGTTTAATGACTTGACTCCACAAATGAATTTGTGGATGAGAAAGAATGATCCACCCTGTACACAAACATATAAACACACATATACCCCCACATTGAGTCCATGTGTAACACAGGAATATGTGGCTTTGTGTACCAACATAAAACAGATAGAAAAATGAAAATGATATGAATACATGCAAAATACTCTGATACCACAGACAGTATCAGTGCTCGTTGTTTAGCAGATAGAATACTATAACAAGTAACAGAAAATTTGGAAAACAATGGAACTGTAGGATAACAAGACCAATGGAGTTCAAACAGTTGACTTAGCAACAGAGGAATAGATGGGGAAAAGAGAAAGAGAGCTCTTGAAGCCCTAGGTGGGTGGATGACAGCCAGGTAGAATGATTCATGGTGGCAAGATGAATGAATAATCGATGCCAAAACTGCTAAAAGCTATGTAGAAGGGAAACTGGATGGACAACAAACATACGCTCTTTCTCAAACTGAAATACTTCTCCATATCATTCCCTCAGTAAAATCTTCAGGCTGAATATGGCCTAAATATGTCGATACTGTTGTTGCTGGCCTTTTGAGGAATTCCATTGTAATGCTTCATTGATTTTACTAAAAAGAATGTTAATGTCCTGCCAGGACATTTCCCCAGTTATTTGGGATGGAGCAAACAGTATTCTGTATTATTTCTTGCTTCTGTCTCTTAGATTTTATATTCTTTTCCAAGAGGGACTATCAGCCAGTTTTACTGCAGAGTCTCTCATCAACTCAAGCACACAGTAAAACATGGTGGCCTACCAAAGGGATCTGAAAAGAATACAAATAACTTGGTTTCCCCTCTCTCAACCAGCTGATTAATCTGGGTTTACAGTGCTGGGTCACCTCTGAATTTCATAAAGACAGCATTGCAGTATATCACAAACTAAAAATACTACAGTAGCTACCACTAAAAATCCTCATGCTGATGGCAGGTTCCAGGTACTCTAAGCAGAAGAATCAGCTGAAGAACTGCACAATCTTTGCTGACAAATTTATTTTCCCAGTGGTCAACCCTGTAGGTTCCCATTGAACTGGCTCATCTAATCATTATTCCTAATGTTTAGGTTTGTATAAAAAAGGATGGTGCAAGCTAAGACTAGTAGGAGCCAGGAGAGGAAGAGGGACTGACGCACAACACAGACAAGGGTCTCTGGTAAACAGCATAAATCTTCTTAAAAACATTCAACAGAAGAGAGCAGTTACTTCTCCAAGCCATGCTCCTACGTGCAACCCACTTCCAGAGGCAAGACAGTATCACATCCATGATTCATCAGCAGTTGCTGCACAATCTGGGTCCTTCAGCAGAGGAATTTGAGGTTGGCGACTGGTTCCTCTAATGTCCACTCATTTTTCTCCACAGGCCTCTCATGCCTGATGTATTCCCATCCGTTCTCCTGCAGGACCCACATTGTGCTAAGCAGGCAGGGTTCCAGAACCAGAGCAAGAAGGAACAAAGCTGCAGTCTGACGGCTCAGCTTCCTCAGAGCTGGGTTACGTGCTCACCCTACAGATTAGTTTTCAATCTGACGTAACATTTGCAAGACATGCTGCCAGAAAAGTCCCTCCAACTAATAAAAAGGCTCATTTTCTTTGATTTCTGAAGTGGTCCTAAACAAAAACCTTAGTGCAATGCTGGGTGGGACCTCTAACAAATAAGCAGTATCCTGGATTGTGATACCTTCATTAATAACAGAAAGGAGGTACCTGTTTTAACCACAGCTTCCAGAGGAGAAGAGCGCTGTTCTCCAGCCAATCCATACACCTTGATTTTATAAGAAGTGTTAGCTTGGAGGCCGTCAATCACAGCACCTAGAGATTCTTTGGGCAGGAAGGTTTCTGCAGGGGGCTCAGCTGCCAATGATGACACTTCCTGGTACTCCACCACAAAACTACTGTAGACTCCTGTATTTGCATACCATGAGATACTAAAGCTGTGGTCTGTTACCCTCAAGACCATAAGGTCCCTCAGTGCATCCTCCTGTATCCCTGAGGCCTCTGGAACAAGAAATCTCCCAGAGCCAGAAAGCTTCTCTGGGTCAGGAGTCATTGCCTGCGTTAGGGTTAGACTATATAGAGCTACAAAGAAACAAACAAGCAAATGGCAGAGTGAAATATTCAGTCTTTCCTTTTCAGCAAAACAAAATAACATTTAGCAAACTGTTTACTTCATAATCTTTATCATGAATGCAGAATCATGAACCCCCCCCCCCAAAACCCCAAACAACTTTGTCACTTGAGCTACGCTTCATCCATATGAAGAGGCAGAAGCAACAGAAGGTGCCGTCCTATCACAGAATCACAGAATGTTAGGGATTGGAAAGGACCTCAGAAGATCATCTACTAAGGAAGATTTTGTGACAAGTTCTTTGGTAGAGGTTCACGAGCTCAGAATGTTTCAGCTGTCTGTGTGTGGAGAGGTGATATGTATAAAAAGATAGCAGGAAGAATGTGAGAGGGGAGAGGAGGCACCAACAGAAGATCCTCAGCTCTGAGGCAGAAAGAAGCTTTACCTCAGTGACAGAAAATTCACTATGCAAACAAACAAAAATAATGTGTGGCAAACTCCTGAATACCTGCAGGCAGAGAAGCCTGCCTGAACCACCAAGAGGCTGGGAAGAATATAAGATGAAAAAATAATAATCTGGAGAAGCAAATGAAACTCTGAAAAAAAAAAACCCTTCTCAGCCTTTCTGCTGTCCCCAGCTCTCTTTTTTTTAGGGATGGCACATGCCCTTCTAAACAGCAGGACTGTCTCCTCCACCCACCAAGAAGAGCTAGGACAGTCCTAGCTGTGCTACTGGCATTTTGCACTTCAATCATTCCTCTCTCTCCATTATTGCTCCAAGTGCTCTCCCCAGCAGTGCAGTGGACCTGAGGTCCCTCATAGCTCTGCAAGAGAGGGTAAAACAACAAGTTTGTTTGGCTTTGCCTGAGGACTTCAGGACCTCCCAAGTACTGGGAACATGGATAAAGAGGACTGACATGAGGATGGATGAAAAAGTAAACTGAAGAAGAGACCTCTTGTCTTATACCTCACAGGCTTACAGAGTATTTTTGCCTCCCCATGCACATGTGTTTGGATTTGTCCATTCCTACGCAGGAGGAAGGTCACAGCGACAGGTTATGTCAACTCCTGCTGTTGCTTCTAAGGAGCTCACTGCAGAGGACTCTGTTTACTGGCTGCTCTGAGTAAAGACTTAAAACAAATACACTGGCCAAACAAATGTATTTATATATAAAAAACCCTCCAACAAACAACAACAAGAAAAAGAAACCACCTTATGAGACCTTGGAAGCTGGTACTGGAAAAACCAGACTGCGAAATTCCACAGCATTTTGTTTCTGCCTTTTCATTGTCTAAGCACACTTCCTTCGAGACCACTCAGTCTTCAGACAGTTGGGGAAACAAATAACTTCAGAAAAAATCGAAACCTGCTTGCTCCTGCCATGTAAAACTTCAGCTTTTTTTTTTTATATGTGAGTTTCTCAAAGCTTCCTAGTTTTTCCAAACGTTGGACACAGGCCTGACTTATGCATCAAATAAATAATTCAGTACAGATGGTTTTCTGTAGTTTACACCATACATATAATTCTCTGCTGTGCTGGATTGTTTGGCTCTATAAAGCATTGTGAGGCTCTATAAAGCATTGTGAGGCTCTATAAAGAATTGTGAGGCTCTATTAACATGAATAGTAACAGGGAATATGAAACCAGTTTTGATCAATTAAGCTGTGTTATTATTAATCTGTAAAATCCACAGCTTCTGCTGTGTGTTCACCTCAAAGGTGGTCTTCAGGGAGAAAAGGATAAGCAGATATCTGCTAAGGACAAGGATTGTAGCCCAGCTGATTCTCATTTCACTGTCTCTGCTTGCTTATAGCCATTAAGGCTTTGCCTCACAGGATTTAGCCTGAAGGCACCTAAAGATTTGGGATTTGCTTGTGTTCTATACCTAGATGTAATTCTGTAGGCAACAAACCTTGGGTTAAAATGTTTCACAAAGAATGAAATCTTATTCAATAAGTAGTCCACTGATACTGGTTAAGTAGATTGGCTTGCACAAATGGAGATGGCAGAAATGGACCCCTTCTTTGTAGACAAATGTAACAGTCATGGTATGCTATGGAAAAGATGACTGTGGCCAGATTTTGTGGTGGCAGTCTTTCTCACTTTTGGATGAGAAAAGTGAAAAAGGGCAACATCAGAGCCCTGTTGACCCTGCTGAAGCACGATGGGTGGAGGTATGCTGTGAAGAGAATTCATTAGGCAGGAATGAGCAGTGTTAAACACTCTGAGTGTTTAGTTGCTCTTCCTCTTAGTTTTCGGCTGTAGAAAACAAAACAAGTTATAAGACATAATACTCAAAAAAGCAGCCTCATTTAAAGCAAAGGATGATGTCTGCATTCCCTGCAGCACAAATAGCTGTGTTCTTTATGTCTTCTCCAAGAATAAGCAGGAAATCATTGAGAACATGGAGCTAAACACAGTAAGGTAGGGAAATACACTGCTATCCCTCAGTTACATCTATCATGCTAGACAGAGCTGAGTCTGCTCTGCAGGCAGTTGATGTTTTAAGCAGTTCCCCAGACATGGCTTACAAAATAAGGTGCAGTTGTACTCGGGCTGATCACTGCCCAATGACCTGGTGCATGGCACTCACCAAAAGCTGTTACTCACCAGTCGAACCCTTGACAGTTGTGGGTTTGCTTTTGTGTCTTCCTTTCTCCGCCACCAGACTGATGGTGTATTCTGTCCCTGCCTCCAGCCCTCGCAGGATAAAAGAGGTGCTGTCCACAGGGATCTCCACTTCGTTCTTCCTTCCAGAGGGGCTGACATAAATGAGGCGGTAACGATCAAACTTGGCCACTGGTCTTCTCCAGCGAAGGGATAAGGTGGTTTCAGTGGGGTCACTAACTTCCAAGTCCTTGGGGTTATCAAGATCTACAGGTTAAAAAAGCAAAGTTGAGATGTCTCTAAACCACCCTGGGACAGTTTTTCAGGAATCTTTAGGCTGAGCAACATCTATACTGAGTGATTAACAACAACTCGGTGTCTTATCCACCTTTTAGAGCTTTTGAAGCCCCGTTGCTTGATATAGGTACAGGATGATGAAGTTACCTTTTACAGACAAACCA